GGGGAGCTGGAGCCTGCACATTCAACTCCTGGCACCCTACAAGTTTAGAAGACAAGGACGCTCGTAGCCATGGCCCTTTGTCCATGCATGAGACGGGATAAGCGGCTACAGTGGGCACAGCTGTAGCACTGGGGCTGGCTCAGGGCCTCAGGCTCAAGGGAGCCTTTTGGGGGCAGATGCTGGGGGAGCTGAAGGTGACTGAAGGGAAACAGTGATGCCAGGGCAGGAGCTCTGGCACATGCAGCCTGTGGCTGCCCCATCCTGCCTGCCCCTCGCCCCCAGCTTCCCTGCCTGCCCTCTCCCGGTCATACAGAGGATCCTGCTGCCATCCCTGGGCTTGGGGAGGTGCTTCCTTCAGCCCATCCACTTCTGCTCGAGAGCGTAAATACTCCTCTGGTTGCCACTGACAAGGGTCTGTCCTTGACCCTCTGCAAACCAGGTGCTGCAGCACCATGGGGAGCATCTGCAGTCAGAGGGGACACTTGATGATGCAGCAGCAGCAGACCTGGCCCTGGCTGTTCAGTCCTCTCATCTCAGAGGTGCTTCCAGAGCATCCCCAAGGGCTCCCTGCTGCCTGCTCCTGCACTGGGCTGAGCTGGAGGCTCCCCACGGGAAACACCGACTTAATACAGCACAGCGTGTCCATCTGACAGCCACTGGAAAGTCTCCAGCTCTCAAAAATCAGGTCCTGCATTCAGAAGCCAAAATGTGAATTGGCTCTCGAACTCTTATCAATTCAGCTTAGTTGTCAGATGGTTCCTTGCTCCTCTGCCATTTTTGTTCTGAAATTAAGCTTCTTGACACCTAGTAACCATGGGACAGGTGGTGGAAACACCAAGCAGTGCATTGTACCCACTTACAGGTTGGTCTCACAGGTTGTTCCACAGGTTGGAACAAACCCAGCGCCGACAGCGAGATCTACAAGCTCCATCTCGTCTCTTACATCACAAAATGAGGGATGGGGAAACAGGAAGAAACATGAACTAAGTGGTTTCCAGCAGTGCACTGTCTGTAAAGCAGTTTTCATATAGTACAACTGTGATCATGAGATTAGCCTCCGTGACAATATTTCTGGTGGTGGTTCTGTGTATGAAGCAGTCATCTGGCCATTAACAGAGCAGAATCCAAACAGCCTTGGAGGTACCATGCTTCTACTATTACTGTTGGGATGGCTCAGAGCAGAGTTTCTGTCTCTTCACTGTTCTTTCCAGTACGTTTGTGCAGTCTTGCCCTGAAATCGCCACTGCTCCAAGCAGAGGCAAATTAGAGGAAAACAAGTGGAACGATAGTAAATAGTAATAACTACTGTTCAACCACACAGCAAACCCTTCCCTACTGACCATCCTGGAGAAAGCAGGGGACAAATCCAGCCATGGTTTACTAGGAACTGGCAGAGTCTGAAACAGCAGCACCAGCTGTCTGTGCCCCAAGGACTGTACGTAAAGCAGTGGTCTTCCTGATGAAGTGGTGAATTCTGCTTTGGAAATACTCTACACAAAATTGAACAGGGCAGGAGAAAATATACTAAAGAAAAACTTCTGATTTGTCGTGGGAAGCACTTCACCCAGTGGAGGTATAAAAGCCCATCTCGCTTGGACGTGAAAGGTCATGGAAATTTTATCTGAGCAATGGCTGCCCAGTTTGGTGCTGCAGTGCTTTGCATTTTTTGGATGCTTTAGGCCATCCACTGAACTTCAACCAAAGCAAGTATTTGACATAAATTCTTACAGAGACCACTCAAGCACACATTTAATCTCACATTTCTAGAGAGCCATATTCAGCTTCTGCATGCTTCCTGAATCCAGGCCTAAAGAACTCCAAAGACAATGCAAACTTCTCATATTTGTCATAAGATCCAGAGCTGCATTAAACTAACTGACTTTTGTAATTTGTCTTATCTAGTCAGAAGATGCAGTTCTGAGAAGAGCCTGCTGGGACTGTCTGGAGCTCTGTAATATAACTGTATAAGAGAAGTACCTTCTATACAAACCCTTTTTGTACTTTTAGGTAGAAATGTCTGCTTTTTTCAGCAGTTCTGCGAATTCACTTAAAGGAAAGAATGACTGAAGGTTTGGAATGGCTGGTTGTACCGTGGAATATATTATAAGGACTAAATGTGATACAGCAATGCTGGGGAGATGACAGGGATTAAAATCAACAGGGACTTAACAGAGGCTGTCTGCGCTTCCCAGTAAAGCTGAATTTCACCTCACCTAATGCATCTCAGCTTTTGTCATGAAGAAAAATTCCTGCTAGTAGTTTAGTTTGTTACTTTTAATTTGGAGGAAAAAAACAACCAACCCACAAACATTAATGTTTGTTTCTGACTGCTGTAATGGCTGATTGGACAATAGCATCTGTATATTTGAACTATTTTTTCCTATGATACCTATTACAATTCATATGTTTTTCATAAATAAAAGATTGACTGGTTCACTTGACCTTTAGTATGCATTAATGAGAAGGAGTGTGCAACGGTCAGTGTTTCAGTGTGTGGACTAGGGACTCATTTAAATTAAACCCTGTTAGAGTTTGTTCCCTCAACTCAAAGTAGTAAGTGCATGTTTTCTCAGAGTATCATGTGGTTTATCTATGACGGGCCTGGTCTCGCAGCCCTAACTTTGCCAAAGCCTACGTGGGCCCATGTGAGAGTGTTTCTCCTGAAGGCTCTGGGGATGCCCTTCTGTTCTCTGGAACTAGTTACAGAAACGTGCGCTCCAAGCTTCCCACTATGTCAAAAGTTAAGTCCCTTGTAGTCCTGGTGACGCCCCATATCATGTAAGAGACTCCTGTGCGCATTAAGTTTCACAAGCCATCAGAGATGTGAAGTTCTGCCTGCATGAAAATCTCCATGGAGAAGATGCAGATTATTGTAAAGGTTTTTTGGTTTGTTTTGATTTGTTTTCTTCTGGTTTGGT